TGTGGTTTCTCATATTTTCCAGACCACTGGCCTTGGCCCTGCAGGTCCCCGCTCCAAATCTCAAAGGCAGGAGTGAGGTGGTGTGGGCTGCCAGGAAGGAATTAAAAACCAGTGGTCTGGCAGGAAGTTTGACCCTTGGCTGGGGCGAGCCGCAGAGGGTACCCAGGAGCCCCCTGGGGAGGAGAGTTTTGGTGAGTTACCCGTGGTTGCACCACTCACATGCTTCCCAAGCCGCTTTCCCAAAGTGGGACCCCACTTATGGTTCTGTTGCTGCCTGGCTGCGTGTCTTGTGGCAGGCCAGTCTCCCCTCAGGCCTGCCAAGTCCATACCAGCAACTTCAGGCTGCCTTCCTCTCCAGGCGGGGTCTGGGGGATGCTCAGCTGAGCAATGAGCTGGGAAAGAGCTTAGCTAATAATAGAAATGATCATAAAAACAATCACAATCAAAATAGCTCCCTGTATTAGGGCTTTACTATGAGCCAGACCCTCCAAAGTGCTTTACCTGGTTCATTGAAAGGACACAAGACTCCCCAGTTCTTTGTTTAAAATGAAACCTGATAGAGTCATGGGTTTTATTTTTACCTCCAGGCATGTGTGTGAAGAGGGAAGTTCCAAAGATGTTCTTCTGGCTTCACAAAGAAAACCCGCAAGTAACTCTGCCTTTGAGGAAACAGAGGTGTCCATTGCAATATTAATATACCATGGCAGTAAATAATTAAGCAAGGCAGCCAACCAGAATTATAGACTTTTTCTGGATGAAAGGTGACTTTCTAGGATATGCGAATCATCCTTGAAGTCAGGGAGTCTTAGAAGACTCTTGAAAGAAGTAGAACTTAGGAGGACAGTTTCATAAGCAGATTCATCTCTGCAGAGATGTGGAACATTTCTTCCTCCTTATTTTGAGGAGTTTGGAAGGCGTGAAATTTTCAAGGGTTCTACCTGTTAACAAAGGGAGTTTAAAGAGTAGCCTGGAGGAGCTCAAAACTTGGTAATGGAAGAGGACAGAATTGGAGTCAGAGCATCTGCAGCATTGACAGCTGCATGTGCGGTTTCTTCTTCTCTCTCTCTTTTTTTTTTTGGCCACATGGCATGTGGAGTCCTAGTGCCCCCACTGGGGATCAGAAACATACCCCCCGCCCTGGAGGCACAGAGTCCCAACCACTGGACCACCAGGGAAGTCCCTATGTGATTTTCTTATGTAATCGTCACAGATGGTGAGATGGGTGTTATCATTATCTCCACCCTGTGCAGGAGGAAACTGAGACTCAGAGACATCCGTGTCTTGGCCAAGATCACACAGCGAGGAGGTCAAGGCCTGCACTTGTGAAGATGGGGACTGGGGCTTCCATGGAGATGGAGTGTACCGTGATTCCAAAGTCAGAGACTCCTGGGTTCCATTGTGGACTCTGCTGAGCAGCTGTGTGAGTTACCTGTGGCTGCTGTAACAAATTACCATAAATGCAGTGGCTTAAAACAACACACATTTATTATCTTATAGTAAATAAATATATGATATTTATTATGGCATATTATCTTTCTGACCTTATGGAGGCCAGAATTCCAAAATGGGGGTCACTGGGCTAAAAGCAAATTGTCATCAGGGTTGCAATTCTTTTAGACAGAGAAAATCTGTTCCATTGCCTTTTGCAGCCCCTCAAAGCTGCCTGCATTCTTTGGCTTGTGGCCCCTTCTCTATCTTAACAGCCAGAAGTGTAGCATCTTCTAGTTTCTGTCTGACTCTGATATTCCCACCTCCCTTTTTCACTTATGGGGACTCTTTTGATTACACTGGGTTCACCTGCATAATTCAAGACAATATAAAGATTCCTAACTTAATCACATGTGCAAATTCCCTTTGCCATGTTAGGTAACATGTATCTGCCAGTTCTGGGCATTAGGATGTGGGTACCCTTGGAGGGCCTTTATTCTGCCTACCACAGTGGTCTTAGCCAAGGGACCTAGTATTTGCGATAGCAGCTATCCCTTCCCTAGGAAGTTGGAGGGAGTGAAAATAAAGAGGATCAGATTTCCAGCCCCCAGAAAGTTACTGAAGTCCCATTCAGGGACCAGCATGTGCTGGAGGCTGGCCATCCAGTGAGGGATAGAAGACCCATCAGAACTCTGATGTTTCTGGAAGGGAGACACTGCTTGGGAAATGCCACCTTCCCACGAAGCACGTGTCCCTTACAGTCACTGGACCCTCCTGGAGGCGTGTCCCAGGACTCAGCATCAGACAGATCAGAGTTCAAATTCCAGCTCTGCCTTCTCCCAGAAGCCTGGGTGTGTTTGAGATGAGGGAGTAGGGTAGGCCGGAAAAGGAGAAACAAACAAGACGTGTGTGCACGTGACCTCATTTCATCTCCACTGAGGTGGAGCTTCTGCCACCATTTTGCAGATGTGGAAACAACAGCTCAGACAGAGAGATTAGGCGCCTTGTTTGAGATCACATAACCACTGTGGGATTTCCCATGCGCCAGGATTCCCAAACCGGCGACGCCCTCACCCCCTCCAAGGAAGTTGGCCGCATCTGCCTGCCTCATGGGCTATGGCTCCTTGATAATTTTCTTTAAATCAACTTATTGCTTTTTAAAAAATTTAAATGCTTCTGTTTTAAATTGAGACTTTATATTACTCCCATAAATGGAATCCATGGGCTAGTTATGTATATTTTTATAATGCACATGAAAATGAATTTATCACCATAAAAATGAAAAGTATTCATCCCTATACCATGTACAATGAACTCTCGGCTCCATTAGTACATCTGGCCCACTCTTTGGGAATTGATGCCATACCTGCTCTGGTTTCACCAAATCATAATGTTATTCATGGCTATCATTTATTACAGTATTAAATTTTCAAAAGTCTTCCTGGCACCATTAAATCCAGACTTGTCATCCTGGCCTCAGGCCCCTGCTGTCCTCATCTCCGGTCAGTCTGGACTTGCTACTCTTGGGGAAAGAAGGGTTTTTCTGCTGCACTGGCTACCCAGTTTTACTGGACTGCAAGGAGATCCTGATCCTATAGGAAATCAGTCCTGAATATTCATTGGAAGGACTGATGCTGAAGCTGAAACTCCAATACTTTGGCCACTTGATGCAAAGAACTGACTCATTTGAAAAGACCCTGATGCTGGGAAAGACTGAAGGCGGGAGGAGAAGGGGACGACAGAGGATGAGATGGTTGGATGGCATCACTAACTCAATGGACATGAGTTTGAGTAAGCTCTGGGAGTTGGTGTTGGACAGGGAAACTTGGTGTGATGCAGTCCATGGGGTTGCAAAGAGTTGGACACAACTGAGCGACTGGACTGACTGAACTGATTGACTACCCAGCTGGGAGGGGCTGGGATTTGAACCCAAGGCATGAGCCTCTTGAGCTAAGCTGTGAAACACCACTCTGTACCACCTTTCTATGATACCTGGTCTCAGCAAGGCCTGTAACAACAAAGACAGGCTTGAAAATGAAGTAGGGAAGGGCTTGGCTGGGCCACCCAGGAGCCCCAAGCTTGTAGAACTCTCATTGGTCTCATTGGCAAAGAGAAAGGTTTGATCAAGACCCCCAGCCAAGTTTTGTAGGTCTAATAGAGCAGCTCCTGCTGAGGGGGAGGAGCTAGAGCTCTTTAATAACCTTTCCTGGTGTATAAATGATGGGCAGCTGTAGTGACCAATTCTAACTCTGTGGTCTCATAAGAGGGTGGGACTTCATGGCAGGTCCTGCTAAGTTTCTACACTGGAGGAAGCTTCACATAGCAAGTGAACTCTCAGTGTCTGGACTGAGCAGACTTCTTGCAGGAATTCTGCAAGTGCCTCCTATTCCCTCCCTTTATTGCAGCACAAAGGGAGTATAGATCCCAGTGTAACTTGTTTAATAGTCACAGTAGATTCATTCCAGCTTTTCCTAAGAGTGAGGCAGAAAAATCCCTGATTGCATGGGAGCATCGGGGGACTTGTGGCTCACAAAGGGGGACTTGATGGTGGGTCCCCCAGATTGCTATGACGCATTGATTACCCAGCTGTGGGAAAAGCCTAGCCCAGGACCTGATACAGTTGGTGGATTTTTTTTAGTGTTTATTCTTGTCCTGGTTTGGGCTTCTCTCTGAGGCTCAGGGCAGAGTGAAGACACCGGTTTCTAGAACCAGTCAAGCCTTGGTTCACATCTCCATTCCTCCACGGGTAAAATGTGTAACCTCGGGCAAATCACTTCCCCTCTCTGTGCCTCAGTTTTTTCTTCTGTAAAACAGGGATACTAGTACCTCCCTGAAAGGGCTGAGGAGAAGATTAGAAGAGTGGTTAGCCTCCCTGTGGCTCAGAAGGTAAAGCGTCTGCCTGCAATGCAGGAGACCCAGATTCGATCCCTGGGTCAGGAAGATTCCCTGGAGAAGGAAGTGGCAACCCACTCCAGTATTCTTGGCTGGAAAATCCCATGGACAGAGGAGCCTGGTAGGTTATGGTCCATGGGGTCGCAAAGAGTCGGACACGACTGAGTGACTTTGCTTCAGAGGATTAAAGGCGTGGATCCAGGAACATGCTTAGGAAACACTAAGCAAGAGCAGTTTTTGTAGCTGGGCAGACCTGGGTTTGAATCCTGCCACCAGCTCTAAGTGCTGTGTGACGTTGGGGCGGGGGGTGTGTGTGTGCCTTGACCTCTCTGAGGGTTTAACTTCCGTCTGGAAATGGGATTGGTCACAGTCCCTGCGTCCAAGGATGGTGGTGAGCATCCTGTCAGCGGGGTTTTGTGAGTGGAGCTGTTTAAACCCCAGCCCTGAGCCCTGGCAAACAGCAGGCAACGGAGATGTAAGGGGTGCCCCTCCGGGAGTGGCAGGGGCCGCCCCGCTGTCCTTCCCCTGCCGCCCCGCCCCAGCTGTGACGCCCACACCTCTGCCTGTCTGAGGGGCAGGAAGGAAGTGAGGAGGGCAGCCGGCAGCTTCCCCTTTTCTGCCCCTGCTCCAGGCTCCTAGTTCCTTCCCCGCCAGTGCCTCAGAGGAGGGGAGGCAGCATCATGGCGCCCCGCGCGGCCGCCATCCGCCAGACCTGCTGCTGCTTCAACGTCCGCATCGCTACCACCGCCCTGGCCATCTACCATGTGGTGAGTGTGTGTGTGTGTGTGTGTGTGAGGGAGACAGAGAGAGAAAGAGCCCCACCCCCCAAATACTGAACCCCCTTGAACGGGAGGACCGTTGCTCACCCCCTCTTCTTAGAACCCCGGCCCCGTCCCTTCCCTGCTCTGGGCCTTGGGGGTCCCTCTCTGTCCAAAGTGCGGGCCGGGAGTGGGGTTTGGGGGTGGGGGGACCTCTGCGGCAGTGGCAGGAGTGGAAGGAGGGGGTCCTTGTTCTAAGCGAATATAGCTCCCATTCTCTCTGAGGCTCAGTTTCTGCCTCTGTGAAATGGGACCTTCAACTCCACAAGTTCATTCAGGTGCACACAGCCCCAGATGTGAAAGTGCTTTGGAAACCCGGAATCTCGGGAGGAACGTGGGCAGGGAGTGTTGTCAGGAAATGGGGTCAGGTCACAGGCCCGGCTGCACCGACTCTTTCCCTGGGGCCTGGGCCACTGGAAGGGATGGGAAGCGGGAATCTCCCTTTTGTGCTTCCAGAGAGGCCAGAGGGGCCAGAGTCCTCTTGGCTTGACTTGCATGTGAGTGGCGGGACTGGCCTGGCCCTGGAGACTGGGGCCGGTTGAGGAGGAACAGGCCCCCTGGATCCCCTTCGGATGCTGGTACGCACAGCCAGGCATTGAGTTTTGTCTCTTATAAACTCAGAGTGACTCTGGGCGAGTCATAGCCCCCGCGGGCCAGAGGCTCTCCCTCTGTCTAGGTGGCTGAAGGTTGGGGTTCTCTTTTAGGGCCCTGTCCAGACCCATCCCCTCAGCCCACAGCTCTGAGACACAGGCAGCTCACCAGACCCAGTGCCTCCCGCCCAGGGTGACTCAGGGCCTGTGGTTAACAGTTCTTTTATGAGCCTGGAAGGGCTTCCTTAAAATTAGCCTAAATCCGGCAACGGCAGGCTGCTGTAAACTGTTCAGACCTGGTTGCATCTGCTTCCTGTAGCAGGCAGAGCCGGCAGGGCCGTGGCCAGAGCCCAGCCTTCAGAGCGCTGGTGCCGCTCAGGGTTCAGCGCACAGTCTCTGGATCCTGACTCTCGTGCACCAGTCCTGGCCTCATCACTTCCTAGCTGTGCAGCCTTGGGCCACTTACTTAACCTCTCTGAATGTCTGTTTCCAGGTCTAAAAAACAAATGAGCTTGAGAATAATAAATAATACACCTCCGATGGGATTGTCGCGAGGATCAAGGGTATAGATATCTACGAGGCACGTAGTGGGGCCTGACAGGTAGTTGAAATTATTATTAGCAGGGCCTCAGACACAGAGCCTGAGGCTGGCACACCCATAAGTCAAGCGGTCAGATCCCCAGAACACTGGTTTTAGGCGGAGCTCAGAGGTTGCTCCGCCAGGCTCCTGCCAATGTGAGAGTGATTCTGAGAGAAGTGAAAGGAACTTGACTGTCCCCAGACCAAGTCCTTAGGGCCTTTTCAAGCTCTGAGATTGTATCATGTTCTTGGAAACACAGTGTCCTAAGCAGGGGTGTCCCTGTGGGAAGCAGGCCCCTGGCTCTGTACCCTTGTTCTGCCGCTAACTGGCCATGCAACCCTGGACAGGCTGCTTCCTGGGGCCTCAGCTTTTCCCTTACAAGATGATGGATGAGGGGTGTGGACTGGCTCAGAGGCCTCAAATGCCGATGCGTCCAGGGCCAGGCAGCTCCTGTAAGTGAGCGCCCTGGGGCCTGCGGACCTCGCCGTGACCTGGGAAGCCTGTTCTGCGTCTGTTCTGGCAGCTGCTTTCTGTTTCCGCCGATTGTTGCTCTGTGGCCCCAGCCGCCACTCTTGTGACATTTGCAGAAACAGGAAACACGGGCTTTTATGTCACAACTTCTGCTGTCTCCATGTTGGTGACTGATTTGAGAAAAAAAAAGACAAATCCCTGGGCAGACCGAGTCAAATCTACTTGCAGGCTGCGGGGCCCGGAGTCTGCCCTGCAAACGCCTGACTTTGTGACTCTTGAGGTTTCCTTTTACTCATGCCATCCGAGATCCTCACTTGTACACGGTGATGGGACATCAGCCCCTGCCCATAGAGCTGGAGGATGTGTGGGTGGGTGATCAGGGAGCCTTCTTGGAGGAGTACCACTGGCAGAGGTGTAGTTTGGTTCTGAGGATGGTGGATCTGGGAGGGATAGGTGTGCAAAGTTGTGGAGGCTGAGGACCATGGCTTGCACTTGGGACCCTACACAGACCAACCGGAGGCTTTAGGTTGGGGAGTAGGAGGTGGGAGGGGATTGGATTGATAAGCTAGATGTTGGACCTTCACGACAGGGCATTATTGATATTTGGGACTGGTGCATTCTTTGTTGTGGAGAGTGAACGGTACACTGTCAGATGTTTAGCCGCATCCCCTGGCCTTTATTTACAAGATACCAATAACGCCCCACCAGCTGTGATGACCCAAAATATCTCCAGACACTGTGAATGTCTCCTGGGGGTGAAATCACACCCAGCTGAGAACCACTGTCTTTCATGTGGGTCATGGGGAGCCATGGGGTGTCCTAGAGCAGAAGGAAGGAGAAGGGAAGAAAAGTCTAGAAGCCGGCCTGGGTAGTATTCTCTGGGCTGGGATGCTTGTTTGATTCCAGTGGAGGATGGTCCTCCTGCCCTCGCTGTGAGAGGTCTTGCTCCTTCCCAGAAAGGGCAGGGCTTTCTCTGTGGCCTGGCAGTCAGGCAGCAGGTGTACTGTCAGGGCCTTGAACATATGGATAGAAAAGTAGAAGCTGCCCTCCAGATGTATTGATCACCTAGAGTGGTGTCATCTGGAGCCAGTCGTGGGTGACAGCCCTGCACACAGAGAGCTATTTGTGGACTGGGCCCCTCTAGGGAGGGTTAAATCGGGCTCTTGGCATCCTGAGACAGTGCCACTGTTTATTGAGTCATTGGGGCGTTATTACTGCAGGACCTCCACGTCCAGCGGCCGGAGGACCTTCTTCCCCACTTCACTGGGTTTGTGTAGAGGATTCCCTGGGTCACAAATGATTTCTGACCCAAAGTGGCACACCTAGAGGAGTCAGAGAACTTTCATAAACTGGTCTCTTTGGTTCTGGTTTATCTGGCAGCCCAAAGCATGTCTGTCCCAAGTTAATGGCAGGAGATAAGGCCCCCAGGAGATCCTTTTGCCCAGAAAAATCTCCCTCCCAAGGTGCCTGGACTTTCATTAGAAATTCATTGTCTGATAAAAAGCTTACACCCACAGTGATTTCAACCCTGTAGCAAGAGGATACACTGAAACAAGGCCAGTAGGAAATGAGACTGATGCTGGCCTTGGCTTGTCTCTGGGTTACAGGTTGTGAAAGCTCTATTTTTTTTTCTACTTTTCTGTATTCTCAGTATTTGCTACAATGAACATGTATTACTTTTAAAAATAAATGTTTTATTTTTGAACAGTTTTGGATTTACAGAAGAACTGTGAACAGAGTTCCTGTATACCCCCTTCCTGGGCTCCCGGATTGATAGCCTTTTACATTAACATGGTGCATTTGTCACAACTGATGAGTCAGTATTGATACACTATTATTAACCATAGCCCGTACTTTATTCGGATTTCTTCAGCTTTTCCCTAAGATCCTTTTTCTCTCCCAGGATCCCAAGTTGTATATAGTCATCATGCTTCCTTAGGTTTCCCTGGGCTATGATAGTTTTTCGGATTTTCCTCATTTTTGATGACCTTCACAGTTTTGAGGAATATTAGTCACACATTTTGTCAGATATTCAACAAATGGGACTTCTCCTGGTTAGACTTGGACAATGTGTTTTGGAAGGGAGATTGCAGAGGTAAAGTACCCTTCTCTGCACTGCATGTCGAGGGTATACACTTCCACATGTCTTATCACTGTTGATGTTGACCTTGATCACCTGGCTGAGGTCCTGTCTGTAGTGTTTCTCCACTGTAAAGAGACTGCTTCTCCACCAGTGTTCTGCTTGACTTACAGGTCTGCTGGCAGCAGGCTTCATGTCTGAGGCACTGCTAATAAGAAATCACTCAACCTCTATTATTTAAAGGACCCTCTTGTCAGTGTGGATTTGCTCTCAACATGTCTTTCTTTTCTGTGCCCAGCCCCAGGCCAGCACACAGGCCTGACTCTTCCATGGCCTCTGTCCTCTAGGGCTTCCAGCCTACCAAGGAAAAACTGTGATAATGGTGCTGAAGGATAAGAGTGCTGGCTTGGATGGGGGCACAGACAAGCCGCCTTAGCTCAGCCCTGGCATAGAAGATATGGGCTTCTCTGGTTGCTCAGAGGTAAAAAATCTGCCTGCAATGCAGGAGACACAGGTTCCATCCCTGAGTCACACAGGAGACATGGGTTCAATCCCTGAGTCAGGAAAAATCCCCTGGAACCCACTCCGGTATTCTTGCCTGGAAAACCCCATGGATAGAGGAGCCTGGTGGGCTATAGTCCATGGAGCTGGAGTTAGAGTTGGATTCTACTGAGCATACACCAGGTGGAGGCTGGGGATTCAGGAAAGGCTTTTGGGAGGAAGCCTGAGTGCTAAGTGTGAGCAGGACTTTGCTTGAGAACCTAGAGGAAGAAAGGGCATGCTGGCCGAGGAAGCAGCAGGTGAAGCTTTGGAAGCCCTGAGAAGCTCATGGAGCTGGGATGGAGGGAGCAATGTTTGTGAGGTGTGGTAAGGGAGGTTGCAGAGGTCAGCAGGGGTAAGAAACTAGAACACATCTCTGGCTTCTTTCACGGGTCTCTGCTTGCCCTAGTTCTCTCATTTCATAGAGGAGTGAACAGGCTCCAGAGGGTCCCTGACTTGCTCCAGGTTACACGGGAGATGGGTGCTCCAGACCTCAGCTACCAGCACACACCCGGCGTGTGGGATGAGCTCCACGGGTGCACAAATGAACTCCTTACCTGGTCCATGGCCCAGGGGTGGTCCGTCTTCTGAGAGGCCCTTCTCTCACCCAGCACTCGTTTCCTCTTCATGGTCCAGCTCATAGGAAGAAGCTTCTTCCTCCAGGAAGCCCTCTTGTTGGTCCTCCTGA